GCGGCCGCTGTTCTGGGAGACGTGTGTTAAGGTGGCCACTCTCCCTCCTGACGCCCAGGAGTTTGTACGGCCGTCGGAAGTGAGCGACCCTCTCCCGCTGCCGGCAAACTAGGTGGGAGAGAAGAACAGCGCATAGGAACAGCTCTCTGCCGGGCTGCAGCCACATCCCTCCCCAGCCCCGTCCTCCCGCCTGTTGCTGGGCCAGCCCAGCCCAGCACCAACGTGCCGCATGGCGAGCGGCTGGCCCCGGCGGGCCGGCCCAAGCAGCGGGGTGTGCTGCCTTCTGGGGCTGAGGGTGGCTGAGTCTGGCTTGCAGGGGTGACAGGGGTGAGTGACAAGGGCTCGCAGCAGGGTGAAGGGTGCTCAGGCACCCGGCTGCAGTGACCCTGTTAGTCTTGCACGTTAGTCCTTGTTCCAACGCCCCGCTGCACAACGCTCTCACAGTCGACAGTCAGGGGTCTGCTTTTGAAGGAATTTAATATAATATATGCCTATGTAATGTAATGTAGGCTTCAAAATAATTTGCAGGGATCAGCAACTTCATGACAGCCTTTGAGCAGGGGCCTTGAAGCAAAGTCTGTTGTGTCACAAGAGTACTAACACGTGGCCAGAGATAGGACAGACGGAGTCCTGGGAGATGTCTGTTGATGACCATGCAAACCCACATCTGTTACCTGGCCAGGGTGTGGCAGCTTTGATCCTGAGAAACCCTCTGATCCAGAGAGGGAGGAGTCGGCGTTTCGAAACTGGGCGGTTTTGAGACAGTAGAGCCACTCCTGGTAATCATCATAGCTGCGGCAGATCACCCGGATCGAATTGATTAGTCGGCCTGTAAAAACATCGCTCTCTGCTGTTACTGGCTTTGACGGACAGTCCATGTTGCTTCCTTCAGAAACCCACAGGAATCCCCTTGTTCCATCCCTCCCCACGTTCTCCCAGGGTCCGGAGACCCTGACACCGGCGCAGGGACAACGGGAACACTGCTTTCGGTGCTGACCATTTGCACCTGGCTGAGCGGAGGACAGAGGCAACCACAGCCCGGATCTAAATGAGGGGAACCTGTGCAGCCACGCTGTGACAAGCGCACCCCGGGGTGCAAGCCGCGGCTGGTTCACAGCCTCTCCCTGCCACCAGAGCCAGGCCCTGCCATGCAGCCGGGGCACAGACGGCCCAAGATTTCCAAGCCGTTCAGTTCACAGAGCTTGGGTGCTGACGTGCACAGCCAGAAAGACGGCCACAGCAGCTTAGGGAAACCAGCCTGACCCCAGAGAGCTCCGTGGCTGCTGCCAGCACACCCCTTGGCATGCCAGACACGCACCTTCTATTAAAAAGGAGGTTTTCTCGTTCTCTTCAAAAAGCACTTGGATGGCGTTGAGCGGCAGCTCGCCCTGTCGAGAGAGAAGCAGGCTTAGGACCGCACAGCTGAGCGCAGCGCACAGCCCGTGCCATTCAGCACAGGCGGAGCGGGGAGGATGACCCGGCTGCCCCTGCCCGCTTGAGGGATGGAGGTTCTGCAGGCACCTGGCTGGCAGAACTCCACTTCTACAGGGGCTTTCCCATCAGGGAAGCCAAGAGGCTCTGGGAGCCTACTGCAAAGTTTTGCCAGCTTAGCTGGGAGCACGAGGAGAGGAGCCCCCAGCGCAGCCCCGGCGGTGGGGATGGGCAAGGCTGGCAGGAGCCTGGCTGCTCTTCATGTGGCATGGGGAGAAGGTGCAGCTCGGCCCTGCTGGCAACCCCCTCGGGGTCCTCTGCAGGGAAGGGGGTGAGGAAGGGGAAGTCCAGCACCTAAATCCCCTAGGCTAGATCTGCAGGAGATGAGAGGCACCCAAGCTGCTGCTTAATCTGGGTGAGGACTTGGGTAGCTCTACACTCCCGTAAGTGCGGGGCACGTTGGAGAACTCTGTCTCCAGCAGATTGACTCAGCCTTGTCCCAGTAAACTCACCCTCCCCGCTCACAGCTCACTCTCCCACCACCAGCCTTATTGCAGGAACGAAGCCTCTGAAGCCAGCGTGACCACACAAGCCATTTCTGTAAGCTTTGTTCTTACAAAGTCCCTCCTGAGCCCTGAGCTCAGAAAAACACTCCTTCCATTCCAGCTGTTTCCAACAGTTTCCTGTAGTTTAATGGCTGACTTCTCCAGAAAATTTTGCAAACATGGTCCTGAATAAGTTTTTAGTTGTTGGATTGGGACTTCCAGCCTTGCAAACAGGAATCCCCACAATCCACACCCTGCAAAATCTTATAAAGACAGGGTTGAGCCCTGCAAATGCCAGCCGGTGAAATGTGAGCTCTTGTGCTATACAGCACAGTTGCGAATGCCAGTCCTGTGACCTGAGTGGGGTTTGCTCCTGGCAGGCGCTCCGTGTACGCTCCTATTATCAGGGAGCTGAGGCAGAGAGGCTAAAGCAACCTGTCCTTGGAAAAACTGGAGTCAGAAGGTACCGTGTGCTATTGCCCCTAAGTGCAATAGTGCCTTTGCATGCACGTGCGCCAGCGTCCTCTCTGCCATCACCCTGCTGTCCCTTGGCCATCCCCGCATCTGCCCCGGGCCTTGGTCTGTGCCAGGCCCAGCTCTCCCGTGAGCTCTGCGGGACGGGCAGCAGCGGGCAGCATCCAGACCCCTTCTGCTCCTGCCGCCGCGCCCCATCCTCAGCCCCGCTCTGCTGCCAGATATCCTTCAGGTGTCATCGCTGACAGTTTAATTCTCTGTAACAGGCAACCGGGCAGAAGGGCCAAGGGTTTGTCAGCACTGAATTAGGATCTAGGTCTCCTCTCTCTTTGGGGCTCCCCAAGCTGAATTTTCCTTACACAAGTGGAACAAGAACAGCCCTGGGAGAGCAGCTGAAGCAGCTTTTGCAGCGGAACCACCTCACAGATAAGCACATTGCTTTACTTCTCATCTCTCTCTTTCTCTGAGCAGGGGGGAACCAAGTGACTTGTCGCTTCTTTGTTCCTGAAGCCCCTGTTCGTCTCACCGGGATGTCACCCTAACCCCGTCTATGGGCATAGAGCACTAGGCCAGGGCAGCTCGTGGCAATGGCCCTGGGAGCAGCTCCTGGCCAGGATGGCAAACGCAGGGTCTGGGGAGCGCGTTCCCACCTCGTGCCACTCGCCCACATGCCTGGCAGCGGAGAAAGCGCAGAAACCAGGGAGCAAAGCCCCATCGTTTAGCTGAAGGTCCTCTCAAAAGGTGCAATCGGCTAGGATTCATTTGCCTAAGTTTACAGGCTGCAAAATGAGGTGTCTAGCAGAAACTTCTCATCACGTCCTCACTGCCAAGCTGTCCCAGCTGCATAGGCTCTGGGGAATGTGGCTGACGTGACAGCTTTGCCACAGGGGAACCGTGGAGCTCGGCCGGGCGTCCGTGGTTTGTGCTGGCCAGCTGCCTCCCTGCAGTAGCCTGCGGCCACATGCAGGCTTCTGTGGTATTTCTCCTGCACCAGAAGTGATTTATGGGCTGAGCGGTACAGGAAGGCTGACCTTGGGAGGGAAAGCTCACGGAGTGCTCCATGACTTGTCTTCCCCTGCTGCTGTAAGAAACGGACTTTGACGCTCCAGCTGGCGCAGGTGCTGCCGAGGCTGCGCGTGGA